AAGCCCTGGGGCCTCATGCTGGTTTGGCAGATGCAGTATGTCCCTGCGCTCCCCCCTTCATCTTCCTGGCGGAGCAGGAGGAGGAGGAAAGCCTGGCACTCGTTGCCATAGAAACCAACTCTCTTCAGCTCTGATGCAAGGTGGTGAGGAGGAGACCAGGCCGTGCCTCCCTGAGTGTCAGTCTCTCCTCACCCAGTCTGGTCTGGAAACAGGAGCCTCCCTGCAGGCCCTGTCTGCTTGACCAGGTACCTCCTCCTGGGCAGGAAGGGCCCCAGGGTGTTACCTGGCAGCAGCCTGTTGTTTTTTCTTTCCAAGAGAAGGTGTCACAGTTGTATGGTATCTTGGCACTCGCCCGGGAATATCAGGAGAACATGCTGGAGCCTTGTCTCTTTAGCAGCATCAATCTTTAATGCTCCTGGTCCTGCTGCAGCCACCCCCAAAGCCTGTCCCCTTTCCAGGGAGATTGTGCAGGGTCCTCTGTCCAGCTACAGCCTTCCCCTAGACTGAGGTATTCACCTCCTTATTCTGCGTCTGGGATGCCTTACAGGGATTGTTAAAGGCCCTCGCATTCTCGAGTAGGAAAAATATTTGGGAAGATATGGATCCTTGTGGAATAAACCCAATTTCACTGTGTTACTTTGTGTTCCCCTGGTAATTGGTGACTGCTCCCATTACTACAAAATGGTGTACCTTTACCTTGTTTCTTTTCTCAGTTAACAGCTTACTCCCTCCCCACCCACAGGGTAACTGAGATTTGGAAATCAAGAGATTTCTAAATAGTCGGAGGATGTTTCCATGACAGCCCAAGGCCCATGAAGGCATGTAGTGTTACATGAGAGAAGGCAGGCACTGCTGACAGCCCCGCTTTGCTTATCCCACAGGTGACCAGGTAGCAGGGATGCTCGCTGTTGCTGTGGCTTCCAGTCGTACCCTCGAAGTTCTGGACTTGGAGGGAACAGGACTTACCAACCAGTCAGCCCAGGTATGAGAGCACACTGTTACTCTACAGCATCACTGATGTCTCAAGGGCATAGGTCTTAACTGTTCATAGAGGCCCCGGGACCTACACCTGCTTCCAATCCCCTCCCCAGGTCCATGGCACCCCTTCCCTCCCTGTGCCCAGGGGTGATGTTGCTTTCCCCTGGCCCTTACAGCTGCAGGAGGAGATTGTGAGGCACAGCTCTGACCTAGGGCTCCTGGACCTCTCCCACGTCATCAGGGAAAAACACACAACTCTCTGTAGTTTGGAGAAAGTAAAGGGTTGGGTTTGTGATTGAGGATCAGAGCTAAAGCTTTGTGGACAGATACAGGCCGAGGCTTGTTAGCACAGGCTCTTCTCTCAGAGTCCCAGCTCCCAGCAGGAGGAGGTGACTAGCCTATAGAGCCAGGAAATCCAGGCTCAGCTGTTCCCACAGAAAGATGGGAAGTTCTCAGGCTCTCAGAAAGCCTGGTGCAGGGAGGTCATGGCCAAGGGAAGGTTGAGGTAAGAAGAGGAGGGCTGGAGTTTGCAGGGAGACAGAGCATTGAAGCTCTTTCTGCTCAGCCTAGCTGCTGTGTGTGGTGCTTGACAGCCTGTTTATCTCACTCTCCATCTAGACCTTGCTGGATATGGTAGAGAATTACCCCACAGCTCTACGGACACTCATCCTGGCAGAGAACAACATCAGTCCTGAGCTACAGCAGCAGATCTCTGACCTGCTTTCAGAGGGTGAGGAAGAGGAGGAGACAGAGGCTCGCGAAGTCACAGCCAGGGAGAAGAACCCCTGGATCTGCCAGAACAGTAAGAGCTCTGGGACCTGGGCTGCGGGCAGGGGCTGACAGGCAGGAACTGGGGTGTCTGGTCTTTTGTGGTAGGGCAGGTAAATGGAGTCTGTCCTTTATCCCTGTGAACTGGCATCCAGACAGCCTCCAGGTGCAGCCTTCATGTTAAGTAACATTGGGCTGAGCTGCACTTGGAAAAGCAGCCTCCAAGGAGAATGCAGCTGCTGCAAGGAGTGGCAATGGTGCCTCAGAGGCATTTCCCTGATGCTGCAGGAATGAAACCTTTGTGCAAAGTCTTAAAACTCAAGGGCAGGAGCGTCAAGGATCTCAGGGGCCTTTGCCAGATATCCTAGCCAAAACTCATGTCATTCCTCATGCTTCCTGAACCTCACTGCAATCCGCACAGCATCACCTATTCCTATCTCTGCATCCCAAACATGTGAAGGGTTAGCCAGGTGCCACAGTCTGTCTGTTGCTTGTAACATACAAAAAGGCGTATTATGGAGATAGCAGTAGCCTGTTGTGTATTGCTTGTATATATGACACTGTATATTGTCATGCCTGTGCCCTGATCCTGCTGGTTTTCATTTTGTGTTGGGCTTTTTACCTTTAGTTGTCCTTTCTTCCCTCCCAGTTCTCTTATCAGACTAGCAGGAGACAAACCCAACCACTCCCTCAGCCTCAAAACATCTGATCCTCATTTATTAGCACCATAAAAATCCTTCTGCTAGCAGCTCTGGCCAAGTTTTGGATCCAGTTTCCAGAAATTAATCCCCAAAATATTGATCCCACGCAGCAGTTTCCAATGTGTAGAATGGGATCACACAAAAAACACAGCCACTAAATATGTCCCTTGCCTACAGGAAAAAACAGGGTTGTTTTCTGCTTATAAAGCCTTCTGGATGGGAAACTGGTACCCTGCTGAGTTTCTTACTTGCTGTGCGTGCCCCTCCTCCTTGCAGCTGATTCACTTGGCATGGGGAAGAGTTCCTGGCTGGTGCTCTGTGCCACCAGAGAGCCAGAGAGCTGCCCTCACCTTCCTGAGGCAGGAAGGGCTGCACAAACCCTCCATTCATGCAGAGCAGAAGGTCAGGATTTCCAGGCCTCTGCTGCCCTGAAATGGTTGCTTGCCCACTGCCTTCCCTGCTTCTGCGAAGGCAGTACCACTGCCCTAGGTGGGTTTGGCTGGCTTGCAGCCTGCCAGCCCTGTCACACCTAGACACTCTCTGGATGAAAAGACACAGGGTGAGTGCAGATTTAAAGGCCTGTGCAGTGCTGGGTAATGCACAGTGGGGTCAGCACAACCATTGTCACCTGCAAGTGTGTGTGGGGAGGGTTTAGAGCTGATGCTCCTTTCCATAGCCAAGATAAATGCAGATTCCCCACCCAGGGCTCTTACTGCTGTCTCTGCCTTCCCTCCTCCCCAGACATCAATTTTGTTCTGCTGCATGGCCAGAGTAGATATAGTTACTACTTAATCTCACAGTCCTCTCAGCAGTTTGCTTCCCACCCTGCTGCACTGTAATTCCTCCTCCTCACCTCTGGATCTGGAATACAAGCCCAGCACTCTCTGGCAGCCCGAGCAGCTCATGGTTTCCTCCCTCTCTCACCACAGATTCCAGCTCCCAGATGGTCCTGATGACGTCAGGTCTCGGTGACAGCCTCTTAGCAGAAACAGAAATGTAGCTGGGCTACCCTGCCTGCTTCTGCCGAGAAGAGCACTGTGCCCGCGGGCAGGTGCATCCACAGCTCCCTGCCACCGGCGGGCTGCCCCTGCTGTCTTCTCACACATTTCACGTCCTGTTGATGCCTCTCCTGGTTCTCTGAGTGCCGGAGCCTGGCCCAAGCGAATCTCTACACACGTCTCTGTGTTGTCACGCACCACATTGGCCGCTTGTGCTTGTCCAGTCGCTGCCTGTGTAGCTCACGCTGCCCTGCCTCCCCCCTGTGCCCTGTTGTGCCCGCAGGGTGCAGGCTGTATTTATTCAGATGTGTATAAGAGATGTTCTTTCTATTGCTTGTACTGCTGTTGCAATGAGAGTTTTATAAAGGTCACAGACATGGCACCACTCATGGCAGTGTCCCCTCCATCACTCTGCACCCCCTGCAATGGGGCAGACACTGGTGGGTACCACAGCAGGCAGGAGGTGTGTGGGGCCTCAGAGCACCAGCAGCAGCCTGCCTTGCCCGTGAGCTCTCCTGCCCCCTGCGAGGGCAGGGTCCGAGGATGTTCACCTGGCCCCCCAGGGAGGTTGGTCTTAGTAACCCCTAGGCTTTTCCTCTGTCCAGCAGCAGAAATTAGACCCCCTCCTGCATGGAGGTTGGCACCAGGTGGCTGCCTCAGCACTAGTTTTCATTGCTCAGCCAGGTGGCTCTTGCTGGAGCTAGGTAAGGAATATCATGTTTCAAGGCTCATATTAGGTTGGAAGATTGTGGCAGCAGCTGCTACTCAAGGGAACACAGAATAAAATCATTAATTATGGGAACAAAGAAACAAGAAACTGCTCCTCTGTTCCATACCCCCAGGTCAGAAAGGCACAGGCAGCATAACTTGGGAGAAGGAGGAAATTTCATCACACTCCTCTGACCTCTCAGCCAGCAAAATGCTTGAAATGGGGTAGGCAGAATTTTATGAGTAACCCTGAGGCTGCTTACAGCACAGTAAGCTTCACTGTAGAGGTTTTTTACTAGTCAAACCTTTACAGCCTTTAAGTAATGTGAAAATTGCCCACATTGTTTTCAGTGTTTCTCAAAACTTGCCTGGTCAAATAATCTGCCCCTTTTTTAAGCTGCTGTGAGCTTCTGAGTCAGAAATGACACAAATGCTGCTGTGAACAATGGATTCTGGTCTGCAGGCTCAGTCTGATCTTTGAGCTGACAGTCTACATTCAGAACCAAAGTTTGCAGAGACTGGATTAAGATTAAAGAAGAAAACCACAGCTCATCCCCACACATTACTCCTTGCCTGGGATTGCACCTCTTCTCCAACACAGATGACTTGATTTGCACAAGCACCTGGAATCAGGCTGTTGCTAAAGTGAGCAGTCAGGATGACCAATGAGTTCACAGCTTCCTGGAAAGCTTACAGGTCACAGGATGGCTCTTCCCTGGGAGAGCTAATGAGTAGCACACACAGTTCAGCAACCCTGGGACACTGTACCACAACAGGATCTGCTCCCTCACATGCTCAGGATCAGTTCAGGTCTTAGCCAACAGAGAACACTGTAGCCACTGCCACCTACTTTTAAAATAGTTTATTTCTGGTCTTAAAATATACATCAGTTTGAAAATGTCAGAAAAAAAACACATTAGTTACAGATTAACAGTCTGGAGTTGGGACACTGAAAATGGGTCAGCTCAGGGGCCCAGAGCCAATACTGCCAGAGGCCAGCAGGAGTGCAGAGGTCAGGCACCATGGCCACTGGGAGAGGGCTCTGCTCCTCTTGAGGCTCCCCCTCAACCTCTGCCAGCAGCCTAATACTATGAAGAAGGGTCTGGTGAGGCCCTGGGCACCCCTTTGCCACCCCTCCATTTCTCTTTTAAGGCTGCCTTGACCAAAGGTAGCAGAGGGAGGCTGGCTCTGCCCAGCACCATCAGGCTAGCTGCTTCAGCAAGAGTGGGGTTGCTCCCCTGACCAGCACACCGGAAAACGGGGCAACACCTCCCCCTCAGGGAGCCAGAGGAGCTCACTTGGTGGGCATCCAAGCCCAGGTGATGTCTGTGAGGCAGGAGCTGGCAGCCACTGCACGTACAAGGCCTCAGCAACGCTGCAGAAGAACAGAAGAAATGCAGCAGTGGAGCAGCTGATGAAAGCAAAAGCAAGGACCTCACCACCACGTTCAGGTCCGGGTAGATGAACACCCTGCAGGCTCAGAGGAGGCTCCTGCTCTCAGCAGCAGCCTGTTTGCACAGGTATCCAGCAAAATACTGTAGTGAAACACCGAGTTCCAAGTCCCCGCCAGAGGGTGGCATCAGCTCCACAATGTTGGAGGTGGGAAACGAGGCAGCAGGGGACGTAAAGCAACCTACAGAGCCACCACAGGCGCCTGCAGCTCCCTTTCACAGGCCCTGGAGCCTCCAGGCTCGAGCTGAAGCCCTGGCTGGCCCCAGCTGCAGGCCCTGTCCAGAGACAGGGGTTTCAGGAGGGGAGCAGGGCCCGAGGCAGCTCTTGGCCACGCATCTTGCTGTAAGCTATGAACAGAAGCTCCCTTCCCAGAGAGAGGGCTGCTGGTTACAGCCCAGTGAAGAGCCCTCGCTGAGTAGGGTGGGAGGACAACACAAACCCAACTCAAAATCCAGACAGCAGGCTGAGGACAGCCAGTGGATTCAAGGGGGAGCATGGCACAGGGAACCAGGCTACCCTGCCTTGCACCCCTCGGGGAGCCAAGAAACACCAGACAGACAAGGGCACAGGACAGTTAAAATAGGATGCCTGGGCTTTGTAAGCCCTCAAAAAAAATCTACATCTACAGACCTCTCCCCTTCCCTCCCCCCTAACAAGACACTGAGCACAAAAGACTGAGATGAAAAGTCACACATTATCACACTACACTAGGAGAAACGCACAGACAGGCCCTATCCAGAAGGGGAGGCCCCAGAGAGGCACCAGAGCCAGCCTGGAGCCCCCAGAGAAGGGGGTGTGCGAGGAGCCCCTGGCAAAGGGCTGCTGCTGAGCCATGAGGTAGTGTGTCTGCAGGGAGCTGCCCTCACATCCCTGCCAGCCCTGCACCGAGCCCAGTGGCATCCATCACACCTTGATCGCCTGGAGCAAGACCTTGTTCTTGAGTCTGGAGGGGTTTCTGCAGGTTGGAAGCCAGGATCAGAGGGAAGCACAGCGCCAATCTGAGCCTCCTCAACACACCCTCAATGCAGGCATCAGACTGGCTGCCAGCGGCTGTGTCTGTTTATGCAGGGCGGGGAGAAAGGAAAAACAATACACCCCAAAACCAAAGGCTTGAAAAGAAGAAAGCAAGCCCACCCAAGAGCAAAGCATCAGCACTGTACAAACAAAACAACAGCACGAAGAGCAGGGGAAGGTGTGAGGGACACACAAACACAGATCCCAGTGCCCAGGTGGTGCCTCCCAAACCACCCCAGCAAACAGCACCCATGCCCCACACCACAGCACCAGCATCCGTGCACTGCCTTGGGGGGGCCTGGATGCTGAGCCCAATGCAGGAGGCAAGCGATGGGGACCTGCAGAGGCAGATTCTGGAGAACCACCCAGAGGGCAGCTGGAGAAAACAAAACCAGCAGGAAAATGAGACACCAGAAATCCCAGCACATCCCCAGGGGCACAGAGCCATCTGCTGGGAGAGTCCTGGTGCCCCACTCACAGCCCCTGGGGGCTCCCAGGGAATCAGACACCACCACACAGGCACTCTGCCCTGTTGGCACAAGTTAAAAGAGAGCAGAGCGGCTGCAGGCAACCAGCATGAGAGCACCCAGGGCCTCAGGTACCTGAGTGGGAAGGGGGAAGGAAGATGTGAGCATTAAGAGGCACAGGCACCAGGACGAGGGGTACCAAGAATGAGCTCCGGTACAGGCACCAGTGTGAGGCTGTTGAAGAGAGCTGCGGCTGTGCCAGGGCAGTGGGTGCGCTTCTGCACACTGTGTGTGCTAGTACTGTGGGTCTGAGGTGCTGGGGAAGGTGGACTCCAGCTCTTCCAGGTAGCAAAAGAAGAGAATAATACAAAATTTCAGAGCAGAGCCCCCCAGGAGGAGGGTACTAAAGGGGGTTCCTTCCTCAGAATTGGACAGATGGAGGCATCCCACAGCTCTGCAGCATGTGGCTGCTTCTTGCCCCGCCTCAGCTGAGAAGGTTGCCTTGCTCCTGGGCTTGCGTCAGACTGTCCTTGCGATGCAAGTGGTGGACACCCATCCTCTTGGGACTGCGGTGCGGCCGACTGAAGGGAGGCTTGACCCTGCCTTCTCCACTTTCTTCTTGGGCACCTCCTTGGTTGCTCTCCTTGCTTCCCTGGAGCAACATTTCTCTCTCCTCAGCTGGGCTCTCAGGCAAGCCCAGGTCTACATAGTCCTTGTGCTTCTCTGGTGAGGGGCTTCCAGGCTCAGTGGTACCCCCACCACTTTCCTGCAACAGCTTCTGAGCTTCATCCTGGGAGAAATCTGTACCATAGTCTGAGGAGAAATGGCTCCTGCGGGCTCTGGACTCAGTGCTGTCCGTCTCCACGCTTGAGTCCCGGCTCACAGTCCAGCTGCAGCTCTGTGCAGACTCCTCACCATCCGAATAAACTGAGGCCGCCCTACCCAGCTCCTGCATAGAGCGGCTGAACCTCTTCTGGAGCTCGGGGGCTGTGTCACGGCTGAAAGCCGTGCGGTTCATCAGCACCCGCTCCGAGGTGGGGGGAGCCTTGTCCACAAACATGCGCTGCCAGTTGGCCAGCAGGTCCTCCTCGGAGCTGGCGGAGCTGGCAAAGGCGCTGGGGATCTGGGGGGGGCTGCTGAACGGGCTGCTCTGGGAAGAGCCGTGAGGCCGGGCTGCTTTGGGCGACTGCTGACAGGAGCAGCTGGAGGCTGAACGGCGCCCTTCTGAGGCAGGGCTGTTGGGGAGCGTCCGCTGCCTGTCACAGCTCTCGTCTTCACTCTGCACCAGGCTGAGGGAGATGGCCTGGCGCGTAGCATACGTGCAGTTGGGCAGGGGGCTGTTCTTTGGGATCCTCACCTTGTCTTCAGAGAACTCAATCACTTTGCGCCCAGGGTACATCGGATGGGGAGGGGATGGTGTAGGGTACGGGCTTAGCTTCTCAAAGGCAGGCACCTCCTCCGGCACACTCTCCACACTGCTCTGAGGCTTGCAGCCACCATTCTGCTGTTTTCCTGCATCTCCTCCCTCCTTCCCCAACTGTCCTGCACTGCTGCAGGCATCAGGAGGTGTACCACTCATGTCCACGTGCACAAAGACATCCTCGGCCATGGGACAGCTGCCACTGCTAGACTTGGCTGAATTCAGAACCAGAGATTCTGGTTTCTCCAAGACTCTGGCAATCACCGAGGTGGGAACAACATCAGATGGAGCCAATGTATGGGCTGCTTCTTGACCAGGGCCTGCGGACTCCTGAGTGCTGTGCAAATGCTTATTGACCATGTCCTGCAGCTCATAGGGAAGCTACAGAGAAGGAAAAGGGCATTAGAATGGGGCTGCCATGCAAACCACTCCCAAATAACCTGACTGCTCCAGCCAACCTTCACATGTTCTTTGTACTCTTCATCTTGACCCAAGCAGTCACCTACCTTACCCTGAGAAAGGTATCTCTTTCCAAAGCTAACCTCCCCCATGAGCGACTGTCAAGGATCTAGCTGTCACACAAGTCATGTTTCTAGACTATGTTCTCAGGCCCCACTGGGCAAAGACAGAAAGATGGCCCATGGGCTCAGTCCCCCATGCCTGTGAGCACAGAGACAAGGCTCAGCCAGTGCATGCTAGGAAGGGGTCTATTGATCTGTGGAAAATCAGCTGGTGGTTGCACTGAAGCGACTCAACAGCCCCCAGTGCTGGGATCCACAGTGCTCCCTGAACGCAGTTACTGCAGCTATGCTGCCTTGGCAGCCTGCCCACAGAGCAGAATCGATGCCTTCCCTTGTTCTCACCAACTCATCCCACTTCCTCACTCTCCCCATTTCAGAGAGACAAACATGGGGTTTATTACCAAAGCTGCAGGACTGGGGTCTCAGCACTGCTCATTTTCCTTCAAATGGGCACTACAGCTCTCCCCATCACCTTGGCAGGCTGCCCTTGCCTCGGGCACCACATCCATGCACCACGTGAAGTGGAAAGCAGAGCTCACTCTCAGGGTCTGACCCATCAGAGGCAGGAGGAAAGGGGGGACACTGCATGACAACAGCTGGCTGTGAGGCTCTCTGCACAGCTGCTCAGCACCAACCCCCTGCCAGTGAAGCCATGTGAGACACAATGCTCTGAGGGGCAGAATGCAAAGCTCCAGGGAGGAGAGACAGCTGGGAGAGAGGTCAAGGTTACCCGAGCAGTAACTGATACACTGACCTCAAGAGTGCTAATTTGAGACACAATGGGGAGGGTGACATACTGGTCACCTGCTAAGTTAAAAAAGACAAGCACGTGGTTTTGCTGAGAGGAACCTAAGAAGGGATGGAGACTGGGGGTATGGCAAAGAGAGCGCTGCAGTAGGGGCCTGAATGATACTTCCAACCGAAGAAGTGATGTTACTAATGTGGAAGGCCTGAACTCAGTATCTGCTTATCCTGAGGGCATGATGAGCTGAACAGACTCCACGAGGGGGAGTATGATTTGGTACCAACTTCTCCCACTCAAGCCTAAAAGACATCCTGAATGCTGCCTCCCATATTTCTCCTCGGAGTAAGAAGTGAAGCCAGGCCAGACTATTGCAGCTCAACTCCTTATCAGGCACGTGGACCTTCCATGTGGACAGGTGAGGAAGGGAAGAGGACAGAGCAGGGTAAGAGAGAGGTCTGTCCTCCTGCCAGCTCCCATCAGGCACCCAGCAGGCTATCAAATTCAAGGTTATTGTGCTTTTTATAACAGCTCCTAGCTGAGCTGTGAAATGGAGCTGGCGTGAAAGAGGAGATGGCAGAGGCTCTGTGATGCTTCTCAGTGGGAGTGGGAACAGGAGCCCTCCCCTACCCTCTATCTGAGGCTGAACAAGACCAACAGCCCTGCAGAGAAGGCTGAAGCAAGCAAGATGCAGGCAAGACCACGAGCCCTTCTTCGCCACCTCAGCAGGACGGCTACTCACATCAGCAAACTTGTGGTTCCTGAAGTGGGACTTGTTACACTTCAGCAGCTGTACTGCAAGGTTACAGTCTTGTCGATAGCGCTCCTGCAAGAAGGGCATAGGTGTGCAACAGTGTTAGACTGGACCCATCTCTTACCCAAAAATGCACCAGCTGATCAGATGCTGCTGGCACAGAAGCAGGAAGAGGTATGTGATGAATCACTCATGAGGACACCTGTCATTCCCTCTTTTCCACACCCCTTTGTATTTCCTTTCAACTCAGTCAAGGTGTTCCTTTAAACTCCAGTCCTTGTCCAGACACATACAGTCAGTGTGTCAACACTCTCTCCCTCAGGAGATTTTAATAGTCTCCAAAAGTCCCACCAGATTTGCTATCCCATCCCAAAGCTCTCAACCATGCCTGAAGACACTGCCCTCTTGCAAACAGACAGACTGGAGGGAGTTGAGGGCAGCTAACAGATACAAGCAGCAAACCCAGGAACTTCTCTATTAATGGTGTAGAAAAAGCATCAACTTCCTCCCAGCACTCGAGTAGATGTATGATATAGCCTGGACTCAGGTCAAACTAAACTCAGAAGAGCCAATACATCAGACTTGAAGATCAGGTCTTCCTTGCTCAAACCCTCAGACCCTTTTCTGTTTGTCTGTCCCTACTGCTGTGCACAGCTTCCACACTATCACACACAATGAAGTCACTCACATGCTTCTTTACACTAACAACTTTCAACAAGAGGAAAAGCCCACACCTCACAGACTTTCACAGCCATTTGCAGACTAACACTTACATTGAGTTCCTCCAGTTTATTGATGGTGGTTTTGGCATCAAGCAATTTATTAGTGAGCTCTACAATCTCCCAGTCCAGTGTCTTGCGGTCCATCTCTGCCTTTTTAATCTGGGATGCAAGAACACCAGATGTAAATCTCCCCAGAAGAGAAGCACTTGGCTTCACCACCCACCTCTACCCGAGCATAGCACAAAGACATGCTCAGCTGGGACACAAAAACTTCCAGACAGGCAGACAAGGGGGACAGCTACAGAGAACAGGTTGAGTTCAAACCTCCTGAACACAGTACCTCTTTCTACAGCACAAGCAGTGCCTGGTGGAAAACTAGTGGTTTTGAACACTCAATCCCATCCTGCCATTGGCAGCAAAGACCTCTGAGCTTGTGATACCCAGCCCTCTTCTCTGGGGCAACAGAACAAGAACACTGCCCATAAAGATTCAGCAGTCAGTGCTGAATGGACAAAAGAGTTTTTGGCAGGGTGAGGGCATTATCTTTAAAGGGTTTAAGCCTTGCTCTAGTAAGAAAAAGGACCTTTATAGCTTCACGTAGAGGTCAGTTAATGCCCTCCCTAAAGCAGACAATCTTGCCTCTTTAGAGTCCCTAACAGTTGAGATGCAGGGCTGATAGAGACCCAGATGTAATAGCAGAGAGGGGTAACAGTTCAGAACAACCAAGCCATTCCCTTCTCAAGAAGTTCTTCCAACACTGCACAAGGGTGCTGGAGGCTGAGACAATCAGGGCCCAGCTGTGCATCAGGGTGCAGCACAGCAACACACAAGGGGGTCAGGTAGGACAATGCTTTCCACATATACAGTCTCTTCAGGCACCAGCACAATGAATATAAACTCAAGAAATTCAAGTGCTAGAACCAAAGAAATCTCATACTGGGATACAGGGAGGCAATCAGCACCTCAGCTGTTCAACTTGTCTGCTCACAGCTGGGAAGGGGAAGGAAAAGGAGCAAACAAAGCTCATAGCCATCTGTATCTTGTGCAGTGCCACAGCTTATGGGCACCACTTCCCAACACGCCATGCTCCAGCTGGCTCAGAGTCAAACACTCTTCAGATGGAGCACTGCAAGCTGGGACGTGCTGCATCTGTGGGCAGCTGCTGGATACCAGGTGAGCCCTTGGCTGGACGAGGGCCGGGGCCCCTCCATCTGGGGTGGTGTTTGTGGGACTGACAATGGAACCAACAGGCTGAAACACGTAGAGAGGAGAAAGAAAAAACACACAAACGAAAAGACGCAACTGCAAAAATCCAGCTTTGGCTGAGAGAGGCCTGAGCGATGAGTGCGCCCAGCGTGTGCCAGCGGCAGCATGGGGAGGAGAGAGAGAGAGGGAGGGAGGGAGAGAAAAGAAACAGCCATGAGTGTTATGAATGCACACAACAGACATATATGCACATTGGTTCTGTTCTGACTGCCCCCGTCCTCCTAGGATGACCACCCAGAGACTGGCTGACATATCCCAGGCATTTTGAGAGGGACTGAAGCAACATGACGGAATACCATGCAATTATGTGTTGTGGGGAGCCAAAGCTCACATGCATGACCAAGTAGGGGCTCAGTAAATGAAGAAAACAGTTCATGACGCTAGCAAGAACGGGGAATAGATAGTCAAGGCCAGAATCTCACTCTTCACCCACTGCCGCATCTGCTGAGTAAAGCCAGTGCCCCTCACCCCATCTGCTCCTAACACACAGGTCTCTTCCACCTCCTCTCTGTAGTTACTTAATAGAGCACTTACCAGGGCATGCAGCTTCTCCTCCAGGTCCTGGTTGGTTCTCTGGGAAGCTGTGTAGCTGTTCTGCAACCTACAGAAACAAGATTGTACACATGGGAACGAATCTCAGGCACCTACTCAAGTCCTCTTCATAGCTGCCAAGCAAAACACCAACTCCACAACTACAGAAAGACTGGTACTAAGACAACCAGGTATATTAGCTATACCTCTGCCACATAATAGCCTTCAGGCCCCACGTTACTGGAGGCAAGATAAGCTTGGCTGGGTGAAAGGATCTTACAGAGGAGGGTATAAATGACTTTGGAGGACTCCTCCAAGCTATGTCATGTATCAGCATGTGACCAGTGATTGGCATTGATTTTTAATTGAGATACTTTCCAGGTAAAGTGATGTATTCTTTTGTAACCATCAAGAGAATGGAGTGTAGAAGGAGCCACCAGTGGCTCCTTTCACACATGTTGAGTAACCATCCAAGATGGATCCTGCCTTCCATCCAACAGATGAAGAATTCCCTGTTCCTCACACTGGGAGCATTCCTACACTGTACCCTGGAGGAAGGAATGGCTGCAGAGCCTTTAACTCTCCCACAATCTAGCAGTGCACCTTTCTGAGGATGCAGCATGGTTTTGATTCACAGAACAGGGCATAGCCTGCTCACGCCAGCTGAGCGAGTCCTCGGTGGGAGAGATCTCTCCGATTCTGACTCTCGTTTTCTTTTCATACCTACGGAATTTGTCCTTGAATTTCTCCAGCTCCTCACGGTTCTGGCCCAGCTCCATCTCCAGGTAGTCCTGACCAGACTCCAGCTCCCTCTCCATCGCTTCCATTTTGTTAGTCACATAGGTCAGCCTGCGGCGCAGCTCCTCATTCTCATGCTGCAATAGCCTGTGGCACACAGGAACATACCACTGAGTGCACAAAGGGTACTCCACACCAGCACCTCCACCCTGCTGCCTTGCTCTAGGGCCTGAGACCCCACATGGGGGCCCCATGAAGTCAAGAACTGAAGTGGCAGGAGACTCCAGAACATGCAGTGAGAGGTGCATCTCTATCAGGAAAGAGAGACTCAAACTCTCTTGGAACAGGGACAAAGAAGCACGTACCAGCTGGCCAGCCATGGCTCCCAGCTCCCTCTCTGGTTACAATGCCTGAATAAAGCCCACTAGCCAGATGAGCTGTGCAGCTCCTGTGTCCTTCACTAGTGAATGAAACCCAGTCAATAATTTATCACAGTCCAGGTTAGAAGAGTTGAAGGCAAAAAGAGTAAACTCATCTCCCTTGAACCTGTTCAAAAGCCCTCACCCCTTAATACACGGTGGAAAGAGGACTCCATACAGCCTTAATGCCAGAAGCAGAGGTGGTGGGGTGCATTTACAGATGTGATCACAGCTGCCAGTCAATCCCATTCCAACACAAACTGCTTCATTCCTCCCCAGCCAGGACATGCTTCGTGGTCAGAATGATTTCCTGTTATTTTTCATTCCTTTGTGCTCAGTTGCTTGGAGAAACCCAGAAGAGCACTGCTTGCTTCTCTTTGGCAGTGCAAACCTGCTCTTCACTATGGCTTGGAGCTCTGTGCTAGCAGTTTTCTCTGCCCCACACGACCACTAGTAAAGAGCTCAGCTCTCACCCTCAGTCAGCAGCAGGGCTTCTGCATACTGCTTCTGGTGGCTTACACCAAAACTAGAGGGTTAAAAAAGGCAATCCTCTCTCCACTTATATTAAAGGCTTCATGTCTTACTTTCTTTCACACCCACCAACTCTTCTGCCTGCACCCGCACTGAGGATCTCTGTTCCCTCCCTCTCCAGAGGGAAAGATATGCAAGGCAGAGATTGGCAAGGCACAGACTAGAGCTTTGCCCACATGGCCCCAAGAAGGTTGAAGGAGAGGAGCCTGAAGGTCCAGTCGTCTTCACTGTGCAGGTGGCACAGGGAAGGATGTGAGGAATCAGCACCCACACAGTTGTAGTATGACAGGCATAAAGGGGGAGCAGGACACTTACTTCATCCTTTCTGCATCCGTCAAGGGTTCCTGCACAGGGAAGAAAACAGCTATGAGATTCAAAGGAGGAGCTGGTGTCTCATACTGCCCTAAAGGGCAGAGTCTTGGTTGCTAGACCCTTCCAGGATCTGTACACAATGCTCAGCTGTTTGATACCAAGCCAGACCATGTGTTCTGGTTCAGGGTAGAAGAGCTAGACTAGAAACCACCACACAAGTTAGGCAACTTTACTCTCCCACGATTCAATCTCAGCATCTCTTGTAATATCACCACCTTAGCTGGTATTTCAGCTTCCTCCACAACCGCAGTTAGTGGGTAGCAGGAACCTCACAGCACAGAATACACTGATGATTAAATTGTCACGACAGTAATCACAACACCCTTGAAGCCCCACAAAAAGAATGAGAGTCATTTGGGAGCTGAAAAATGTGCTACCATTTCCACCACCCAGATAGTGCTGTGAAAAGGGTTCCTTTCTGCAGACCTGAAACCAGCCACTGTAACTATTCTAGGAGAGCAGAACAAACACCAAAGGTCACAAAAAGCTGTGAAAGAAATTAATGTTCTGGGCAAGTTCTCCAGAGATTGCTGGAACAGGGATCTACAGAACATGGGGATACAGCACAGTGACAAGAGCACACCCCTCAGCTATTCTCACTTCCTTTGCACTCTCTGTGTTAACCCCTGAGATGGCTGCTGCCTGCCAGCATGGCTGGCAGAGATTTCATTAGCATCAGAAGCAAAATACTTTTTGTGAAAGCCCAAGATTGTGACCATTGTCACAAAGCCCAAGCTGCCCATAGGTTATTTTTGGTGCTTGGTACTAACGGCACTGCACAAACCCAAAGTGGTGCCATGTTTCAGGTTGTCCATTAAGTGTCACAGCCAGTTCTGGGCAGAGAGGCCATCTCACAGACAGTTGTGGATGAGGTTGTTGAGCTGCTAGCAATACTACAGAAGCAAACCACCCCAGTCTAGGCCTTAAGACATCACAGGGCTGCTTCCTTCATCAATGCACACTTTAAAAGAATGATCCTTACCGCCTGCATACATTCTTCTATCCCTAAAGGCAAAGCATCAACCCATTCTTTCCTCACATCCTGACCCCACATGGCAATTGGTTAATTAATGCAAAATTATCTAGCAACTGCTACCTCTGCCCCCACAAAAACATATATAGCAGGTACTAGTGACCAGGCAAAAGGCTCTCACTCTCCCCACTGGCATTACAGACTAGATGAGATTCAGGTGGGAGCTTTGGCTTTTGCGAGACCCCTGTCTGTAAGCCAGTGGCCCTGGCACCTACCTTGTTTAGTGCAAGGCTCAGGGAAGGGGAGGCTTTAGATGGGGCAGACCCTTCCTCCTGACTACAGCATGTTGGAGTGGAGAAGGATCCTTTCTCTGAGTAGCTTGGCTTCACTGCACTCTTCTGCCCAAGTTTAGCGCACAGATGGTGTGGCTGTAGTAGCTGTGAACGAGGACTGCTTTCATCCCTTCTGCTCTCTGCACTCCTTTTCCAAGAAGACAGTGAGTGCTGCTGCCTGGAGGATGTTCCTCCCAACCCCAGGTCTGCCAGCTGCTTCAGCTCATACTGACACAGATCTACTACCCTCCTCTCTACAGAAAGGAGTTTTCCCTTGCTGTCTTTCCTCCCAAGGGCAGGTTTCTTTCTTAGTCTGGAAGCTCTCTCAGCCTCCTCAGAACACTTTCTCTGGCATGAAGCCATTCCCAGCTCCTCACATTTAATTTCTGCTCTTCTTCTGCTCAGGTGGGGGGATCTTTCAGCTACACACTTGGTTTTAACCCCTTGGCCTTCTGGCACAGATCTTCTGGGGAGAAGGGTAAAGTTCTGGTCTTGTTCTGCTCCCCTGGTCTCTCGCAGTGAACGCAAGCGGATGGGACTCAGCACCCGCTGGGTAATCTCATCCAGGAATTTGGAGAACTGCAGTTTTTCCTCCGTGATCTTCTCCCTGTGCTTGACAGAGCCAGCAGCACTGCTGCTGCTGTGCTCCAGTGACTGCTTCTCCTGTTGGCTGAGGCAGAGCTGAGGATCACTGTACTTGCGTGAGCTGCGGCCATGGGAAAGCGTCTCCACTGACTGGGACTTGCGTAAGCTCTCAGGGCACGGGCCTCCTGTGTTAGTCTGCTTCAGGATTCCTTTGAGAGGCAGGTGGGTAGAGGAGACCTGAAACTTCCTTGGTGTGAGGACTTCAGGAGGCTCTTTAAACATAAGTGAGCGTTCCAGGCTTCTGCTCTTGAAAGAGCAAGTGGGATGGTGTCTTTCATCTTCAGGCACCACGACTGTCTCCATGCTACGGCTCACAAATCTACTGCGGTGCCCATGACTGTGGGTTGGGCACTGCCTTCCACTTCGCTGCCCCATCTTCCCACCATGAGGAAGTGCTGGCAAGACAGTCTGGCTCTTGATGTTCAATTCTGCTTTGCACCCTGTCACTTCCTTCTCACTGCTGGACTCCAGGGACCACGATGAGGAGAAGTTCAGGTTGCAAACCTCAAACGCCTGTGCCTGCTTGAGCTGTCCTGCCTTGTTGTAACTAAACCCTGTTTGCTGGTGCAATGGTGTTAAGCCCTTTGCCACCCGGCAAGCTGTTACCTGACTCTGTTCAGCCAAGATCACTCCATCCTGGTCATCCCGGATGATGGGTACCTCATGGCGGATCTCCCGATGCTGCGGGGGTGCCTTGCGGTAAGGCTTCTTTGACGGAGCGGTGCTTGACATCCTCCCACCTGTGTGGCTCCAAAAGCAGGTTACCTACCAACAGCAGAAAGTGCATAGAGGAGAGAGTCACAGGTGCTCCATCGAACCCTAGAAGTGACCCAGCAGGAATCTGGCTCCGCTGGAGTCCCAGAGCTGGTCCCCATGCAGAGTGCTAACAGAGCTAGGAAAGGATGTGGCCGCAATCCTTGAGCAGCAGCTGCAGGAGAGGGAGCAAAGTAAGAGGTAGCTGTGTCCTTCTCCCAGCCAGTGATAGCAGAGGGCTGGCACATCCTCTCCCCCCTCTACACACGCAGTTTGTATGTATCTGGATTATATATAGCAAACGAGAACAGACCTCACAGCAGCATATTGATTAGGCTCTTTAGGAAAGGCCTTTTCCAATATGGAAACTGCAAGCCTTTACAGGCAGCAGTGACAGCTGGAGCACTCGTTATTGATCCTGTTCTGTCACTGTCAGCAGGGACTATGTGGGAGGAGACTCCAACCACTAAAGAGCCCAAACCCAGAAGTTTTTGGCTTACACTAGAATCCCAATGGAGCAGACCATAGGAGTCTTGTCAGAAGGAGGTATCATACCATACCAAATGCTCACTGTCAGAAAAAACGAAGACCACCCCCAAGTCATAGGTGGCATTGAATTAGGATGGCAACGCCCTTGATGTTGGTACCTTAAGCCAGATTTTGCAACATGCATCAGTACCACTAGCGGAAGGATCAAATTAGTCCCTTTACCCCAGCCATGCTGGCATGGAGCTGATGCAGGAGCTGTAGCAGCAGAAGAGCAAAAAAATGGGGTAGAAGGAAAGCAGCTATCTTGTACACATGGAAGAATCTCCTTCCTTTCCACCATGCTGCAGTGGAGGGCAGGAAGACTTACCTCCAAGCAGCCAGGATTTCAATCACCCCACTGTACACAAGACAAGAAGTCTTGGAGCTGCCAATCAGTCCTTGCAGAGCCCAGTACCAGATATTCCCTGATGACAACATATAGTTCATAGTTCCCTTACGTTTGAGGTAAGCACCTGCTTCTCATTCCCCTTTCACTTGCTGGATCCTAACACTGATCAAGTCTAGCATTTCTGCAATCCTCACTTGACCTGCAGAACTTCAAAGTGCTCATATCAACTCATATCACCCTCTCCCTGCTTCTACAGGCAGGGCCATTTGACTCCCATTCACATACCTTCAAGACAGTTCAGTCAATGGATACCACTGGGCCAGTGACCTAGCAGATTTCACTTGCTTTGTGTTTTGGCCAGTGGAGTTTTACATGCTAAGTGTCCCAATGGAGCCACAAGAATTCTCTCCAACTCTTACCCCTCTTGCCTATCTGCATCTTCTTGACACTTAGACTGAGTCCTCTGGGAGGACTGTCACATGTGAGGTGTTTGCACCAAGCACAAAGTGGCTCCAAGCCACAGCAGGCTTTACACTTACACTTTGCAAGCTGGCCTCCACGCCGCTAAAAACAGAAGCTCACAGAAGATTCTCACACCTTTCCAGAGTCATGAACAACTTCCTAGCACTAACATGTACATTTTTCCACCACCAGAATGCTGGAAGTCATTCCCTCAAGGTCCCATCTCCTAAAAAAAAAATCAAGTAGGTGAAGAAATCGCTAATACCTCAGAAAAATCACATTCAGAATACTGAATGCACATTCTATTACATCCCCAAGCAAAACAGATGGGTCTGACTTGTTAGGAATGATGAAATTCTGAGCAGAAGCGGGTTTGTCAACACCATCAAATAGGAGATCTAGGGGACTCTTCTGTCAGTTCCTTCCAGGCTAAGGACAGTAGATGCACATAGATATATCCCAAGCTGAAATCACAGTCATATCTCTAGCCTATGAGGACCTGAGCACTTACCAGCCTGGGCTCAAATTCAAAGCCTCATGAAGCAGGGACACTCATGCAGATGCCCTGAAGAAGAGAAACAAATAGTTTAGCATACAGTAAAGCAGCTGGTTTGAAATCTCACCCCATGAATATGTTAGAAATAGGGAATGTGTATAACCAAGAACAACTGTATGACCATGTCACTCCAGGTACCTGCATCAGACCTTCTGAAAGTAAATGAAATCAGCTTAGGGTAGTTGAGCCATGTAGCTCAGCCAGAGCTGGAAAAGCACCTGGCAGGGACATGTCCAAGGCACTTGGGCAACTGAGACCACACAAACCCAAAATTCACGAAGCAACAGCTTCAAGGAAACCTTAGTTCCAGTAAGGACCAAACAAACTTCCCATGAAATGGGACCCTCCCAGCTACTTCTTCTTGCTAACTGTGCAAGGATGCTAACTGTGAAGCCTTCAGCACAGAAGTTTGGTAATGCTAGCAATTACCTCACACATTCTTTTAAGTCAGTGTTTCTCACCTACAAATGAGCTGGCAATTATCAGGCTCTTGTTTGAGCCAAAACATTATGTCCTTGTGCCTACAGCTGTGATAACCCACACCTCCACTAGAGAGGAAGGCAAGCTAATCTGACTTCCAGCAAGTAGCATGCCATGTTCTACCTTGCTGCTAACAAACCTCTCTAAAATAAGTGTCCAGCCAACCAAGGATATGTAACACAAGTTCAGAAACAACATTCCTCTGTGTTTAAAAGCCCAGGGTACTGTCCTGGTTTTGACTGGGCTAGAGTTAATTTTCTTCTTAGTAGCTATGTTTTGGATTTAGGATGAAAATAACATTGATAACACATCAACATTTTAGTTGTTGCCAAGTACCACTTTCCCTGGTCAGGGACTTTTCAGCTTCTCTCACCACCCCACCACCGAGTAGGCTGTGGGGCACAAGAAGTTGGGAGGGGACCCAGCCAAGACAGCTGACCCCAACTGGCCAAAGGGATGTTCCATACCATGATGTATATTAGTATATAAACTAAGGGGAAAGCTGGCTAAGGACCACTGCTCAGAACTGGCTAGGCACTGGTCAGTGGGTGGTGAGCAACTGCATTATGCATCACTTGTTTTGTATAGCGGGGAGCGAGTGAGCAGCTGTGTCATGCTTAGTTGCTGGTTGGGGTTAAACTATCACAGGCACCCATCATTACAAGAAGAGGAGTGTGTTGATCTGGGTGCCAGCTGTAAGAGCATAGCTCTGTGGCCATCACACTGCCACTAGCATGAGAGAGACTGCAGCGGAGCCTTCCTTTCTTCCCTGATGAGCTGCTGCTGTGCTGCTTTCTCCCTTGTCAATGGCACCAAGCCCTGGTAGGGCACAGGGTGTGCAGCAGTTGTACATACACAGAGAAAACCAGACTGAAGCTGAATAGAACAGGCAAGCAATCAGGACCACGCAAACTCAAGCTCTGCCAAAACAAACTAAATAGGTGCCCTAGCGCTGGCCCTGCCCCAACAAGCTGTCTGGCCCTTTTCCTTACTACAATGCTATAGTCGGGTCTCAACTAGCACAGGAATAAAAACAGCTTCACAACAGCAGAACAGGGGAAGAAAGCAAAGAGAGGGAGAACACAGACCTCCAGGAAGGACCAGGCCAGCATAGTTTGAATCTGCTTTTCCACCAACTCCCAGCAGGAGCTGGCTCAGCATCAGCAACATGGGCTGGCAGACAAGCAGAGGCTTCCAGGAACAGCTGCACCCATGGGTCCACACATGTTCCCATTGCAGTGGGGCTCAGAACAAACATGCCAAGCCAAGGGCCTCCCTGTCTCTTAGCACATAGTTCCCTCAGGCCCAAACAGGACTGTCCTGCTTCCTACCCCAGAGCCAGCAACTATACTACCCCCTCCATCTCATCCCCACCTACCTGGAAAAGATACTGGGATTCAAAACCTACCCTCATAATCTGAAAATTTCCAGAGACACTTAAATACTCACAGTGCCTCCAGACAACTTTCCCTCAAACAAGGACTTACAGATCCAATGTGACGATGTGTCCAAACATTTCTGGCCACTTGTTTCTGAATCAGCTTTCCCCTGTCAGCATCCAGCAGCATCTGGCCAACAGCTCCTGAAACATGAGAAAGGAAACTTGGTGTCAGTCACCTATCAGCACAACACATGGAAACTGCCAGGCATGCGTCAAGCAACCCACAGCCAGGTGCCAGGGCAGAAGCTGGCAACAAACTGCTGCACCATCAGGCTACTATCTAGTGCCAGGACCCTTCTGTGAAATAAGCTCATCTTCACCATGTCCCAGAAAAGGAAGGTCTTTTAACCACCTCTCCACTAAGCAGGATACCTGTGCAGACCAGTAACTAACCTCTGAAAGGCAGCTGTTTTTTCTAGATGGCTGGAGTGAGTCACTGCTTCCCCACCTGCATTCCTGTACACGACCAGGAGGAGTTCAGCCTCTCTCATTCTGATCCAACCACCCTGCCACAATCACCTAGTTTTGTTCTGCAGACTTCCCTGCACTGAACAGCACAGTTAAGCCCTCCTTGCTTACAATACCTGAACATCCTTTGCTACCACAAAGATAATTCCAGGGTGGCTCAATTAACCACACCTCTGTTCACAGAGAAGCAGATGCTCTCTTCAGAACAAATTTGTGCTCCGAAGCAGAAATGGATATAGGTAATATCCAGAAATAGAAGGTGGTACAAATGCTGCTCATCACACTATTCACAAGCTTCTCTCTGAAGGAGCTTCCAGTCAAGTCCACATTCTGAATACCCTGGAGAAACTCAGCTTTAGCCTGGAGCTACAGCAGGCAGTAGCTCTTCAGCTATCCTAATTAGCAATGTAATACAAGAGGAAACTTAACCTCCTGGTTCCTTTTATCTGCCTTTTCCATCTCTCATCAGTAATGTTCCTTAACATTTACAGTCCTCTTCCTACCAGGCTACCGTCTGCAGTAGGTCCAATTCTATTTTCTTCTAGTTACTACCCACTGTAGTTCCAGTCTCATTTCTAAACTCAGTTACAGCTTCACTAGAATGGCTCACTGAGGGCTGCAAGGCTTGGACTCACACTGATCAGCAATAGTAACATCTTCCAGGCAAACAGACATGAACACACAAAGGGTCAGAAGACTGCAGGGGAAACCCAGCAATTTGCTTTGTCAGTGCAAAAAGCTGTGGATTCCTCTGCCTCCTCACAAATACAAAACACAACCTCTTCACAGCGAGGGAGTGCAGCGACAGTCACTGAGTGCACCTGCACAGGGAGTATCCAAACCTGATGCTAGCTGTTTTTACCAGAAAGCATCCCTCAGTGTAAAATTCACTTGAGAGCACCTATGTTCTCTATGTGATATGAGAAAAGCAAAACCACACACTAGGAACAGATGCAATCTAGCACAGAATTGCTTAAGGCTATTCTGCACAGGGCCCACAGAACTAACAGCCACTTGGCATGCATGCAAAATCCCAACACAACTTGTTAGCATCTCTTTGTCTCCACTTACAAGAAAGAGGTCCACAGCATACAAAAAAGGTCCAAAAAGAAACCCTTTGAACAAAAAAGGGAAAGCACCAAAGAAGAAAAAGCAACATCTGTAGGCACCTATTGTTTTCCTGACACTTGGCAAGTCCCTTGAGTCCTGAGGTAGCCAATACTTAGCTCTGGTTCTAAGATGCACACTTAGAACCAGGTTTCTGCCTGCTTGCTGTTACAGCAGCTGAACATTCCCTATAAAGAGGCAGAGGACTTGCAGAGTTTTCCTCACCATCACCTTCTCCTGCGTTGCCTTTTCTGACCTTATAAAACAGCCTGCTTACCAGTGTTCAGGGTCAGCAGTGTCCCTCAACAGATAAATGGTGACTATGTTGCAGAGACTTCTTTCTTATTTCAGGCACTGTGTCATCTTTCCAGCCTTTTCTTCTTAAAAGCAGCATTTCTTTAATCTTGCTTTTTATTCAGAAAGATAAATTTGTATGACAGATAAAATACATTCCAGAACACAATCACAGTTATATTTGTTTCTAATGGAACACTACAGAAAGATTCCCTGGCTATCAGTGTACTCAAAAAAACTCCAAATGCAATACCCACATATAAATAAAATGCTACTACTGGCCTGTGCCACATATCTGATCACCACAGCTAACCCAGAATTTTCACTCTGTGTGGCCCAACTCTGAATGCATACCCAACACAGGACGTTGGCACATCCTGTTTTAGGGGGCAACAACATCTTTCCACTAGCATCATGTGAAGCAAAAGCAAGAGAAGCTTGTCCAGTTGCCTTCCTGTGCTTGTGAACAGAGGCAACCTCAGCCTCCATATGTCTCAAGCCAGGCTAAGTGAGAAGCTATAAACCTGATCAAACCTAATCAGCAAGATGGATGATGCAATAAATGCTTCAAGAGGTCTTGTCCAGGACAGACAAACAAGCTGTGTGAAGTTAAAGGTAGCACCTGTAGACTGCTGGTGCCAAGTACAATGGAAATGGACTGCAAGGTTATTAAAGGACACTTTAACATTTAATGAGAGACATATTTTCATTCAGAGAAGGCATATCAGAAGTATGTTCAGATCAATTCTGTTGCTGGCTACTTTGAAGCTCAAGATAAAAGGATGGCAGCTCCTAGCGCAGACACATCTCACTTCTGCTTGTATATTAACGCTCACGATTCAGATCTGACTAACAGCATTATAGTGACTCGGATTAAAAATGAGTTTCAGGAGGATTATTGCTCATTCCTGCTTTTCCATACCGATTAACCTTGCCTATTAGACAGAAACCTCTGTTCCCTGTATGGGAACAATTCCAAGAGCGATCAAGAAAAAGGGATCAGGCTAGCTGCTGAACAACAGTCCATGTAACAAGCCCTACTTAACACCTAACGTATTTCCAAAGAAAATTAAATCCCTAGACTCTACAGTCTTACATAGTTCTTGTTGAATGTAAATACCACTGGACATATCCCATGTCTTTCATACCTACTGCACCCTGCAGAAATCTCTCAAAAGTAATCAGAATTGTACTTTGCTTACAGTCCCGCTCCCTCCTCCCACAATACAAAGATCCCATCTCCCTAATCTAGTTGCACTCCGTATCCTCCAGTACCCCATTTTATTATCTATACTCTTTGCTGTGTTAACAATAGCTTAGCTTCTCTAGCCCTTTTATAAAAGCCAGGACAGAGCGGCACTGCCCAAGAAACACTACCATTGCTAATATGTAACTGGAATAGAAGGCAACAGCTGATTGACATCTGAACAGGAACAGGCCAGGAAGCAAAGGACCCGAATCCAATCCCCAGAAGGAATGTTAATGGAGAACAAAAATACCCAGGGGAGATTTCAACCAGGAAATGAGCGCTAGCTTTATAATGCATGTAAAGCATAGAACCACCTTTAATGGCTACATCTGTAACCGCACAAGAACTAGCACAGCAGAAGGTCATTTGCCAAGTTACCTTTAGAAATGACAGCTACACTGGGGCCTAATGACAACTCCTCATCCAGAAATGCTGACACACCAGAAACCTGTTTAGTTTGTTCAGTGATCCTTTCAACTCTCACAAGATGGTTTAGGCTACAAACTTCCAGAGCCTCTTCATCTTTGCGCCACGTGTTTCCTGTCCTTTCCCACTCTGTCTTCTTACCTGTGTTTTTGTAAGATCTTCCATGGGAAGACTTTTGAAGTATGTTCCTCAGATATTGAAAGAGATGTGTGAAAGGCCATCAGAAAACAACCCATGGAGATTCAGAGAATTCTAAACAGCTCCTGAAAATAACTGTCTGGGCCCTGCTAGAAAAAGAAATTCTTGATACTCTAACAACATGTATCTGGGAAAAAGCTGGTAGGTAACATAAAGGAAATCGGGGAGTCATGGCCTTAAGCTTGGCTCAAACACAAGCTAGGGAACAGCTATAGCAAGCAAACATTTTAAGAGAAGTGAAGGAGGGAGATTCTATGGAAAATCAATACGTAGCAATCCGCAGACCTCCATCAGCTCTTGTGCTGTGTAGAAGGGGAAAAAAAGGGGGGCTGGAAAACATACATTACCTTCCTAGAGCATAAAATCAGAATGCATTTAATTAGGACAAGGCAGAAACAGCTTAAATTCTTTGACCACTGAGAAGTGGACTCATAACCCTAAGTATTCCCTAAGTCTCATACAACCCTAGCAACTAATATCAGCAGCCCTCTTGTTTCAGCTGTTGGTTTCAGAAGTCCCAGAAAACTGCAGTCTCCAGCTCCTCAGTGCCAGGGACTGAATGTCACTGAGCCATCCCTGTTAGCAGAGAATATAGCAATGCTAGAGAATGCTTCATTGCTGTAACCTATGTACTTGCCTCAATACATTCTCCAAAACACCCTGAGTCACAGCAATGCGCAGATGGCTAACACACTATGTAGTACCTACACAGCCGGACAACGGAGCAGAGCGCATTATTTACACTATTTACAGAAGGCAGATGGACAAGTTGTTGCAGTGACCCAGCCTACAGTGCATCTGCAATGTTGAAGAGGAATTAAGTCCAGCCCTGATGCTTGCAGGTGCTGGCAAAAGCAAATTTCAATAAATGAAATGGCTGTTTACAGCAGCCAGCTTTATTCTGAAATGCTATCAGTGCGACCACACTTAGGGAGTAATTCACATGCCAGTTTTGTTCCCGGAGCCTTCACCAGCAAGAGGAAAACACAAGATGTATTGACTAGAGATTTATCCTTTTCAACAAGAGAAGTGACATCTGCAGTACTTCTAGTAACTTCTTCCTTGGCCATGGGTTTTGTATGTATGAGAGTCACTATTCATACTGAAACACATACAGGGGGGAGACAGTGACTGGGAAACAGACACAAAATTGGGTGAAATTTCTTTAAAGCTCTACCTAGCTGCAGAAAAGTGCAGCTCAACCCTGCTCAGCCAGCTGAACCTTTTGAAGCATTAAACATTTGTGAAAGTTTTGAGATGTTGCTTTTGCTGCATCCACAGTGTGCTAACCAGGTCTGAAGGCTCTTTTCCTGGCAGGCTGAGGAGGAACTTTAAAATAACATTTCAGGAGTCTCACATCTGTTCTAGACAAGAAAAATCCTAATTTAGAAGGAGGAGC